CCCCCCCCCCCCGAGGCTGTGAGGCTGTGGTGCAGATTCAGATTCCAGCTGGAGTACAGCTGTGCCAGGGCTGAGCTGTATAGAGGTGGGGGGAAAGGGGGATGCAGGGGCAAGAAGAAGCAGCAGCAGCATAGGAGCTTCCAGCTGCCTGCCCCTGGCACAACTCCCTTTGCCTGGAAGCTGTGCAGTCAGGTAACAGGGGGCTGAGAGAAGCATGGCGTGGTACTGCTTGGTGCAGGCACAGCTCCCAGCTGTGAGGCTCTGATGGAGGCTCAAGGAAAGCCCATCCCTTGCTACCACTGATGTGCTGTCAAGGCCACTTGGCCTACACCAGAATGGTTGCTGGCCCTTAATTTAGCCTCAAGGAACAAACAAATGTAGTAACTGATGACAGGCAGTTTCAGTGGATGAGACCAAGTTAATGTCAGTGTAAGCACAGAGGAGAGAAATATTGGGAGTTAAATTCAGAGAGTAAACTAGGACTGATTGAAATTATTGGGAAAAACTTGTTAAAAAAAGATCTTGGACATGAAAAGTTGTCAAATGCTGCATTTTCAGGGCGGGGGGAGTTAATGGCTTTTGTTTTTTGTTTATTTTACATGGTTACTGAGGATATTACATAACTTCTGGTAAGATTTTAGTGACATTTTCAAAACATATTTTAAATCAAAAAATTCATACCTTTTTTCAAGTAAGCAAAATAAAGTATTCCTCAGATAGCTCTGCAGTTTTGCAGTGTCAAAAAACAGGTGTCTAATTTTCTGCTCTGGTTTAGCTCTACCTTTGTTTTTTCTACAGGCTAGCAAGGGTTATGCATGGGCAGATGCTTTAGTCAGGAAAGCATCCGAATGTAACCCAGAAGACAGAAGACTGAGGAAGAATGTGGTTTCAGTCTTTCTGTCGGATCTGAATGATTATAATTAGGGTTTCTTGCTTCACTGTGCTGAAGAAGGGAAATGTGCTTAGACAGTTTTGACAGCAAGAGAAGAAAGGGGAAAAAGAAATAGGCAAAAGTTGCTACTATCATGTTTTCTCCTCTATACTTAATTTTTTAACCATTTTAGTAAAGGTTGATTATGCTGGGTTAAAAAGGGATAACACAGTTTCTGATACACAACGCAAAGTTTCTCCAGTAATGAGATCAAAGTTCAGTTGACAGGAAGGAGTCATAGCTGAGCAATCCACATTAATCCTTTGATCACCGTAAAAAGATAGAAAATGACTTAAATTAAGATATAATAAGTCAGAAAAATTGCAAGGGGGCTGGTGTGCCCAGCTATGAGGGTGAGTTGCACTGCAGTGTGAAGTCTTTAAAGGGTATTTCTGCTCTGAAAGGCAACCCCCTTCCTGCTTAGATCTGCCTCCCAGTTTTCACAAGAACTTAGTATAGTTAGTGATGCTGAGATCCTGCCCCTGACTGGAGGTGCTGAGCCCTTGTGAGAATCTGACTATTTGCTGATCCTAGAGCCAAAGAAATGTTATTTTCCTATTGTGATGTGTTTAGAGTTGTGTGAATAACTGGGGGTTTTTTTGCTCTGGACATTTAAAAAAAATCCTCAGATTGAACTGTTCCCTGAAATGCAATGCTTTGTTTATGCAAGGGGGGAGGGTTTCTTTGTGTGATATATTTTATTGGGCCACCTGCATAGTTCGGATATGGATAAATAAGCTTTTGGATGCAAGACAGCCTTCTTCAGGTCAAGGAAGAAAAGCAAACATGGTGACAGTAAAGCACAGTTGGTTTTGAAATGTGTGGTGGAGAGAAAATTTTCCAGGGGTAGCAGACAAACAGTTAGCTGAAGAAAAGAAGCTAATCAGTGGGAAATCAAGCCCTATCAAAAAGGAGGAAGGATGGATTAAGGAATCAGAATAACCATTCCCTCTCTGACCTCACTATCTTCATGCTCAGGGGAAATCTACCTAATGCCTTTCAAAGGTGGACTTGGGAACAGAAATTCATAAGCTGGCTGGACACTAGGAGCAGAGCTGGCCTTAGGGGTGGGCGCCATAGTCAGGGGCGCACCACACACACATACGCACATACACACATGCACACATGCACACACACACAAAGCAGCGCCCAGACCCCCTCCCCGCCTCCCAAGTCAGTGGCGCAGCTGCAGGCAAGGAGGTGGAGCCCCCACCCCCAGTGCTGCTCAGGAGGAGACAGGCTGGGCAGTGTGGGCAGATCCACTGGACTGTGCCCTGGATCCCTGCCTGCCTCTGCCTGCACCAGGGCTGCTGACTTGGGATGCTGGGTGGGGGCGCCAAAATACAAGTTTGCCGTGGGCACCATTTTCCCTAAGGCCGACTCTGACTAGGAGCCAAGGACTTAACACTGATACTGCTTTTATTGTACATTATAACCTACCTGATTCTTGAATTCTTCCTACAAATGGAAGGTGCCAGTGAACTCCGCCCTTTTTATAGGCCTTGATTTCCCAGTAATCAGCTTCTTTTCTTCAGCTAATTGCTTGTCTACTACCCCTGGGAATTTCTCTCCTCCCTCATATTTTGCAGCCAACTGTTTTTTGCTATCCCTTTGTTGCTTTCTTCTCAGACTCGAAGAAGACATTCTTGCATTCTAAAGCTTGTCTAACTCTATCCTTGCTGAGCAGTTGGTCCATTACAAGATATCACCCAAGGAAATCCTTGCCTCTGACATAATTCCTGGATCAGCACAGCTACAACCTCACATTACCACTACCAATGCTTTGTTTAGGATTTAATTTTTCAAAATATAACTAACGGAGACTTGTAAATGAGAAACCATTCTGGACTGAAAAAGTATTGACTTTATCCAAATGTCTCATTTTGATTTGAATGATTCAGTGATCCAGAATCTATGTTTTCCTGTAAAAAAAAATTCAGGTAAAAGTGTCCTCCCAGACCTATGTTTGCTGTCTCTGTAGCTGCAGAAGAGGGTGCTGTGGTCTGTTGTGTCTTATGTGCAGCTACAAAGAGATCTGTTCACTTAGTTTCAGTTGGCCTTACCTGGGCAAGTCAATCTGAGGCAATGGGGGTGCATTGGGGTCACTCTGAGCAGCATGTGGGGGCATTGCCCAGCTGTAAAAAAAGGGAGGAATTTTGCATTTAAAACCTGTCTTACTAATAACGGTCTTTTTTAGAAAAGGAAGAGCCCAATTTGGCCTTGAGAGCATAGGCTGGGTTTGCATGGTTAGGAGTGAAAAGTAACATCTTGTCTTCTATTGTTAAATAGAGCACATTAACATGGAATTACTGAATGATAGTTCTGATGGACACCCTCAGGGTCATTGGATAATTGCTTTAAGAATGTTTTTCTCATGCTAAAAAAGAAGGGTTATTTTTAAAAGGTTAGTTTAAATTCTTGTGGACCCTTCTGGGCAAACAGTACTTAATTTTCTTGCATACAACAAATACCTTTTCCCATAGGCAACACGTAAGTTCTGACAGTGGGGAGGCACAATTCTGCACCACCACTGCAGTGTGGGGGCACAACTCCATGATGCTGCTGCTGGGTATTGGCTGCAGCTAGTCTGCAGGTCCAGGCCCCGCTGATGGTACAGAAATTGTGCAGCCGCCACCACCCCCACTGTTGCTGGGCCCTGGCGTCAGCCAAGCTGTAGCCCCATGCCCTGCACCCCACTGGCAGTGCAGAAATATGGGGGGATGTGCCCTCTCATGTCCCCCTAATGTGTTGCTAATGACCTTTTCCCCAAAAACGAGCTGCTGGAAATTAGAGTGTGCATTATATGCAAGAAATATGGTAACAGCAGGTCCTTTCCAGTCTTTTGCTTTTACATAACTCTCTTTCAAATGTCACTGTTTTGCAGATATAGATGAGTGTGCCCTGTCCCAGCACAACTGCTCAAAGGGCACAACATGCATTAATACTGGAGGAGGCTTCCAGTGTGTTAGCTCTGAGTGTCCTAAGTCTAGTGGCAATGTCAGCTATGTGAAAACATCACCATTGTAAGTATGGAGAAATGAAACAGAATTAATGGTCTTGTGAACTCCAGATAGAGTAACTATGATCATCAAGTTTACAATCCTGTTTAATTGCCTTGTTAAAACATGTCTCCTTCTAGAAGGCCCTCTTTGTGAGACAGGAAAAAAGTGTTCTGTTAAAACCCTCAATTCCAGGTTATTCATCTTGAAGTTAGTTCAAGACTTGGCTTTACTAAATCCAATACCAGGACAGACCTTAAAGAGAAATGACTAAATGAATCTCCTGGGATGAAATCCTGGACCTACTGAAGTCAGTGGCAAAACTCTTGCTGACTTTTGACTCTAAATCTTACACTCTTCTGACATGCAAAGACCTTCTCCATGTGTTAGCTGTAGGTCTGTGTGTAAAACACTGACCAGCAGGGTAGTTTCATGTGTTGTCCCAGCCTCTGCACCTGGCCCCCTTCAGTTTCCTCCCCATCCTGTGCCTGGTCCCCAGAGCATACCTGTCTGCTACAGCCCCAGGCTTATATTCTCATTTGGGAGGCCCTATTCTCGGTCCCTGGGGGGCTAGATTTTGACCTTGGTTACAATGGCATACATACAGTGCAACTTCACTGGGGTTATTACAGATTTACATAAGAGGTGACCAGGAGGAGAACTTAGCCTGTAATCTGCTAGTTCTCATGATTCCAGGTCATGCAAGCACTTCCTCTTTTCACTAGGGCTATGGGGGACTCATCAGTGAAGGTTCCTTCATGTTAGGATTAGTTTGATGAATGTATTTTAGGAAATGTTTTTGTAGTACATTTGACTATAAATTCTCCCAATTAATATTAATGGATCATTTGAAATAAGATTTTTAGGCCAAGGCCCCATGGCCATGATGCTTTCATACAAACTGTTCCTGGGACTGACCTAAACCTTCTCCTTTCTTCCACTGTTAGCCAGTGTGAACGCAATCCCTGCCCAATGGACAGTAGATCGTGTCATCATGCCCCAAAGACCATCTCTTTCCACTACCTGCCTCTGCCTTCCAACCTGATCACTCCCACCCCACTTTTCCGTATGGCAACTGCCTCAGCTCCAGGACGGCCTGGACCTGACAGCTTGCGCTTTGGGATTGTGGGAGGCAACAGCCGAGGGCACTTTGTGATGCAGCGCTCAGACAGGCAGACAGGAGAGCTCATCCTTGTACAAAGCATGAAAGGACCCCAGACAGTAGAAGTGGACGTTGACATGTCAGAGTACCTGGATCGCACCTTCCAGGCCAAGCATGTTTCCAAAATTACTGTTTTTGTGTCTCCCTACGAGTTCTAAAGAAAGCAGCTCATGAAAGCAAGGAAATCAACAGCTCATGGACTGTTCCTCCTCATCCATCGCTTTCTTTTAGTACAGACTCTTTTAGAAACTTCCTCTGTTTTGAACTAGTGAGCCAGCCCTGTGAGAGCACCTGTAGCCACTGAAAGGTAATCATACTGCAACTACTCCAAGAAACATGAGCTTAAAAACTAGTATCAAGCAATGAGATCAATCAAATTACTCTGGCAGTTACAGGGGTATTTTCTGCAATCATCTCATAAACTTACTCTTTTATAGGAAGTTTTGACTTTGGATACTTTAAATTTTTTACCATCTTCCATAGATCTATGCTTGTAGAAACACTAACCCTAATCAGAGGAGTATAGCAATGAAAGCCAGATTCTATCCAATACACTAGCCTCCCTGTAGCTAAATATTTTTCCCTTTGGATTTGGGATTTTTTTTTTTTTTTGCTCAGTCTCCTGACTGGTTTTACACCCACATATATGAAAAACAGCAAATGAAGTGTGAATGAACTCATGTGCTCACCAGCAACAAGCAGCTGCTCCATCACAGAAGTCTGGCATGCTCTGGAGCAACGGGCCACACACCCAGTGGAATTATCAGGAAACCATAGCAATTTAGCATCCTCCCCACTAACCTCCAGGAAACACAGTGCTGAGATCTAGATTGGAAAACACGTGCTGGTGAGTAATCTGTGGGCAAATGAGTGTGCTGAAGCCTTGTTTGTCCTCATCCAGCCCCTCACAGAGATGTCTGTTGCTTTCAGACCAGTACAGTAATGAAGATGTAAATTAAATACAGCCCTGAAGAGTTGTTTAGAAAACCAGCATGTTGAATCAGTATTGCCCACAAGCAGTACTGTTTTCAGGCATGAGCCCCTGGGATCCAAGTCCTGTGTCTCTGTATGAAAGGACTCCAAGACCCATCAGCTAGTACAAAGAGAAGGCACATGTGACGTGTGTCTCTGCATGGGGTGCAACCTTTCAGGAGCACAACATGGAGAGACTGCATGCACCCAGACATACCAACATCCAAATACACCATCATGCAAAACACTGACTATTCCTGCCTGCACAGTCACACAAAATCAGCACAGTAACTACCATAGGGTTACTTGCATAGAGGCCCCCAACTGGCACTGTGCCCACAGCCTCAAAAATCCTTAAGACAACTATGCTCGCAAGAGCAGATGGCACAACCTGAACCAGTGTTGCATAGGTTTTTCCACAACACAGCTCAGTCCTTCTGGTGATAATACCACTGTTGTTCTGGGCCTGGGTTTGTTTCAGCTAAGCACAGCTGACCAAGTACTTGTTCATCCTCCTCTTCCAATCAGTGGAAAGAATTCCACTTATTTAATGGTGCAGGGTTGAATTTCAAGTGTTTTCAACTGTACCAAAATATGTGAAAGTTCTGTGGCATGTGTGGTTTTTCCATGGGATAAGTGAAAGCTACCAAATGCCTTCCACTGGTAGCATATACAGATTTAAAACATTAGTCTGGTGCTTTAGCAAACTACAATACCTAGCTCTCAATCTATTTCACATGGCTCCAAAATAATCCAAACTGATAACTAATCCATAACAGTAGAATGCTACAGTCCATCAGGTGCCTCCCCCAGAGGAATAAAGGATTGGGGCTTGATTACCACCTAATGTATACCATTTGCTGTAAGTTAAAGTTCAAAAAAGTCCATTCTAGACTCTGTCATGAGCTACTTTCATAACAAGAACTTTCAGAATAAGACTACCTTTCAAATTATATTTATAAGAAAGCAGTTAAGGCTTAAATTCCTCTTATGAAAAAAGTCTTGTTGGGATTTTTACAGATAGCTTTTCTATAGAAGTATCAGACCTTACCATAGAATTTAATGGGGAAGTTTGGCCCTGCATAAGAATTATGTTGGATGAGTCTAAAAATACTGACCCGCTTTCATTTGCAATTGGAGTCCATGGAACAGATCCTGAATTAGTCTCAATGAGTACAGTGGCATTGACTTCACAACAGTTCCTCCAAATTTGTACTGGTGTAAATATCATCAGAATTTAACTTAATACTTCTGTTTTTTAAATCTCCTTTCTTATTAGCTGAGTATAAAAGCAGACATTTTTGTGGCAATAACAAGCCCTGCCCAGGATGTTGCATTTTGAATACAGAATACCGTATATTATCTTAAAATATTTGGGACAAGTTCTGTTCCCAGTTTCACTTGTGCAACCACTGAGACATGCATAGGTCAAAATCACCTATGGAACAAACCACTGGAATCACCCAAGGAGGAAGTTGGCCCCATGTGTTTGCACACCAAGTTTCTGACAGTAAACGTTAGTGCCTTGCATTTGGTTGCTGTAAATCCTTTCTAACCCCACTCTCATCATCACTGTAGTCCTTCCACACAGCTCAAAGGGCTATTTCTCAAGATTCCTTCATGAACAGAAAGATGCGTGTGCTTCTTTTAGTACACTCTGATGATGACAGATCCATGCTTCTTCATTTTGTTATTTAGCATCACATTGCTTTGCAGTAGACACATGAAGAAGATTACAGTCTTTCTTTTCTCTCATGAATATAAAGGAGGCTCTTACACTGAATACTTGTTAATGGTTGGTAGGAATTTCCCACAGCATTCACCGCTGTACATTTGCAGGAGAATGGAACCCACAGTCTTTACTCCCAACTGGAAGCTCATCTAACCCCACTGAAGTTAACTGGATTCTTTCCACTGACTTCAGTGAGTTTTGGATCAAGATCCCAATGCACTGTACTGCAAGTAACCCAACAGCAGTCACTAGTAGCACCCTGAGCATTTCTCTCCCCTGGCCCCTAATAGCAACATTGGATCAGGTATGTAACTGGCACAGATCACCATGGCTCCACTGCTGTGCTGGACAACACCCAATGAGAATCTGGCCCACTCTCTGTGCACAGTTCTGAAGTAGTCTATGAATGAGGTTGGAAATCTAAATCCATATGAAATGACTGTGGGTTCCATTCTCCTGTGAATTGTGTTGCTTTGTAGGTTCCACAGCAGTCACACAATACCTCTCGGGCACAAACCTTCACAGCTATGATGTGCACAAATACAACCAATCAAAGATGGGTTAGTGCAAAATGTGACTGGTTTGGAGACATCCAGGGGCATCAGTCTGTCAGTGTAAGCGGAGGCACACACCTCATAGTAAGGAGTTGAACCTCCCCAGCAAGGTTCTGGGAGCAATCCAACCCAAAGGTACAGCCAGAAAGCAGCACTGGGCCAAGAGCAAAAAGCTGAGCAGTCCTTGAATCCCCCTAAGCCTAGACAATTCACTGGTGCTCCTTTCCTGCACAAAGGCACAAGAGGAGCTTTTGCTTGGAGCTGTGAAGCGCACTCCGGCTTTGTAAAAGCAGCATCATATTATTTTTCATGTATTTATATATTTCATATCTGTCATATATTTATGATAATGAACAAAGCAGAGACTAGAGTAGTAGGCTGACTCTAACACAGTGGTTTTCAGTCTTTTTAGACCTGAGGCACCCTTCCATAATGTGCACAGGGATCAAACTGGGTCACATATTTGGAAACTGGGAGATGGTTTGTTGATTCACAAAGCAAATGAAATTGCATGTAAAAATAGCAGCACTTCTACAGGGTAATCAGCAGGGTTCTTGGAATCACAGTTCCTATAGCAGCTTCAAGAAACTTGGCTACTTTGGTGTGTTCTTAATTTGCTGTCTGTATTGTAGCCTGATTCCCAGTGTTACTGAGAAGGTCACGGTCTCCAAAAGGAGCACTGGGAGCTCTCAGGGCCTTGGGCTTTGTTTAGGACAATAAACACAGCAGATACTAGAGTAGTAAGTTGACTCTAACAGCGTGTTTTTCAATGTTTTTAGAATCAAGGCACCCTTCCATAATCTTGGTGAATTGAGTAGCACTCCATTTCTAAAATTAATGTATTGGTGCCTTGCTTGCTTGTAGAGGGGCTGGGAAAGAGGAGAAGCAGCTAACAGGATGAGTAACTGGAAAGGAAGAACCTGCACTTACCTTCCGCCCAGAGCCTGAGCTTATCTTGCTTGTCTCCTCTTTCCCCATGGCACCCTTCAAAGGCTGTCATGGCACCCCAGAGTGGCACTCTGGTTGAGAAGCAGTGCTCTTGAAGGTCAGCACAGTCTTGCTAATCTGTGCATTTATGAGAGCTGTCAGTGCCATCAGCTGGAATAGGGGCCCCAAGGGCAGGTGTGCATCTGTATTTTGCGGTAAAATGAAGGCTCAACCTCAAATACCCTGAGTCACATGAGCTGCCCCTTCCTGTCTATGCTACCTTGCTGCAGCATGGAGACAAGAAGTAGGCAGACTGATTTCTAGAACAGAAAACTAAAGCAGAGCCCTTTTGGGAATCATGCTGACTATTTGCATCTTCTGTTTTAGACTCTAATTATGGGCAGTAGAGACAGTCAGTGAAGTGCCAAAAGGCCACTAGTGGACTTCCTATGCTTGTGGCCCGCAGTGCTCAGGTGAATACTGAACTTAGAGCAGGGCAGAAGGGAGCCCAGCCTCGGGCTTTGATGCTGAGGAGAGCTTTGGGGTCAGGCTGGACACCTGCCAGGGAGTGTGAGGTTAGGGGTTTGTATCGTGGATGGTTGGCAGACTTGGGCTAGAGGGGAGGCCTAGGAGTCACTCAAGGTTGCAGTGTAGACAGATCTTGATGCTCTTTGTCCAAACTAGGTTTCATAAACAGACTTGCATTTTGGGTTCTCTTCATCCATGTCCTTGTACAGATTTTCAGTCACTAAATCAACAGAAGACAGAGGCAGTCAGCTTGTTGGCTGTCAATATGAGAACCAGAAGACAGGACAGATTGTGAAGATGGCTTAGCAGAAACACGTATAATTCCCATGTTTAAGAATTACCGTGGGCTTGATTCTGTGGTTTGATACCTGATAGAGGTGGTATGGTCTCCCCTCTCTTGGATGGGTGAGAAGGAGAAACTTTGCCACAGCCCTGTACGAACCATCTATTCATTGTAGCTTCCTACAACCTACAGT